ATGGTTCGCCGACCTTGTTGCTCTGATCGACGTACACTACCGCTAGTCAAACTGCTTCAGATGCACATTCCCTTTTGACTTTGATCTTCTTGTCCGTCGTGTCGTATGTAAACACAGTCGTTCAATCAGCACAGACAAGATTCTGGGAACCTTCGACTACTGTCTGACATTACCTCTCTCTTAACTCGAGGTACAAATATTTGAATAAAAGTACTAGTTAGTACCGTAATCACGAGTCACGTACTAAAATGGTTGTTCCAAATGACTGAACCAATATAAAACAATCTATTGAAATTGGTGTACTATTCGAGAGTTGTGTCAGTGAATTCGGCGAATTGTGGGGTTCTCGAACCAGAGCATCTGGAAATCGAACTCGTGAAACTGCGCCTTGTATAATTCAGTTTCAGTTTGTACAACCATTAACCATACACTTTCGTGCGCCGGTTTTGGTTGCTGTCTTCTGGCTGCCTATCTGGATGAAGCAGCAGGAGAAAGACAGGAAGGTTGAAGAGAAGGGAAAATTTGGAATTTCAGTGAACTAATGTTGCAAAGAAATTGAGAAGATACACCACACCACACATGCCACTGTTTACGACTCCCAGCCATATCACTCAGTGTCTCTAACCATCGGCTACGATCATACCGAGGTCCCCATCCAGGGAAGCTAACAGAATCTATGTGACCCAGACTCCTGGTTAAGGTTTTCATACCCTAATGCCAGGTCTTAGCTTCACCATCCGTGGCTTTATTCCATCCACTAGCTACCTCGGCGAATATCGCTCGCCGTGGCAACCTATTTGGTGACATGCGTAACACGCCCCAACCAGTGTAATCTATGGAGGTCGACCACTTGCTCCAGTGGCCGGCCGCATTTACCTAAAACCCTACATCTAACCTCAACATTGTTCGTCCGGCTGTGTAATTAGATAAACGCACGCAGCTAAAAACAAACCACAGCGACCAAAAGAGACAAGACGAAGAAAAAATGGATGTGAGCATGGGATCTGGGAGTGCACCAGCCACTCATGAGCGCACATTTCAANTAATTTGACCAGCAAGCCATAAAAAGAGATCAGGAAAACAAAGTGAGCGAACCACGACGGGCTGGTCACCCAAGACGACGGAAATCAAGAGTGATCAATAGAAAAGTAGGAAAGATCGTCTGAACAGAGCTTAACAATTGACAGCAATCATTAGTGAAATGTGAAACAAATTAAACACAAAATTTCCCAAGGCTGATGTTTGAATTGCAGGTAATACTGGGGCTTAAAACTTCTTCCCTCCCCTTCCGCACACACACACACACACACGAGTGCTGTATTGGCACGACGGATGATAAATAGTTATGAGACTCCAGCTCCTAACGTTAGTATACTGTCTGACCAACACGTTCCAAGCAGTTGTACACCTTGGATGAAAACCTCGAAGAAAATGCTTCACTTTTTGGGTCAACCAGTATGCTCTGCTCCCACACTTCCAACCTTCCTTAAACCTAACTCTCCCTGCATGACCTAGATGCAGAGGAACATATACATTTACGAATGCTCATATTAAGCCCCACATCAAAAAAATATTTTCAATGTTTTCACAGTCTCGATTGTAGTTAAGATCGTTTTAAGCTCCACGTGGTTTATCTAACCAAATATATTCATTGCATGTAACTGTATACGAAGCGAATGATCTTCAAGGACACAAATCGTGGACTGGGGGATCAAAATAAATTCTGCTTGCAATAATTTGCCTAGAAAAATGCATTCATTACGCAAAGCTAACGGATCACTAACTAATAATAAAAACCCTCGCCAACCTCGGTACCTCAGATTATGCAAAAGTTCGTATGCATACACTGTCACGCCCCGGGTTGGAATCAAATTGGATTCTGTAGACACGTACTACTGAAGATTCCCAAGTGAGATACATTTCAATGATGAATGACGTGTCTGAACTGCATGAAGAATCCATTATCCTCGATGGGATTCGAACCCGCGCATGGATGCCGCCTACGCTTTGTACGTGCATTCTCCACCAGCTGAGCTCGTGGCTCGGCTGGCAGAGCATCATCATCATCATCATGGAATCAGTAATTCCCCCCC